CCCTCCTAAATTAAACAATCTGTGGAAAGTTTATTTTTCGCTGACGCTTACCTCAAGTAAAATGGGATTTCACAAAGCGAAAAAGACACACTCATTAGAATAATTAAAGCAGATGTATTCAATTATATATTAGNATATATATATATATATATGGTTAAAAGAGTCTTAACTAACTTCCCTCCTAAATTAAACAATCTGTGGAAAGTTTATTTTTCGCTGTTGTGTAAAGGTGATACATGACAGCCACGAACTGACGCTTACCTCAAGTAAAATGGGATTTCACAAAGCGAAAAAGACACACTCATTAGAATAATTAAAGCAGATGTATTCAATTATATATTAGCCACAGTGTTCAAATGATCCTTGTCATTTGACGGTGCATTAATAATGCAGTATAGTTCATTCAAATCACTGAAACACCACGAGCAACCGGATGGTGTTTTTCCTTCAGTCTTTGTTAAATATATTCAGTATGCATGGTTGTTTACATTGCCTCTGGAGTCTGACATTTTTGCACAGTTGTTACTCGTCAGGGAGAATACACTTTGTTTGTTCTGAGTGTAATATTCAGATGTAGCACTGAGGCGCTTTTATTGTGGAGAAGCATGCGGTGACAGTGTGACGGAGCCACAAGTACCAGGCTCACTGTGTGAGCATGACTCAAATGTTCTGTTGTGTAACGGTAAAATCACTGCTGACCCTCTCTCTTCTTGTGACGATTTCTATCATGATGCTGTTTGTCTGGATGCAGCCGCTCTCAGGGGGCGTAGATGGAGCAATCAAACAAGTGATGAGAAAATAAGTTACTACCTTTGCTGAGTGTCTAAAACAAATGATTCAAAGTTGTTTCTAAACTTCTCTCCTATTATCTTCAACAAAGTGGCTGTAATGAAACACAGATAGCGGAGAAAGAAATCTGAAGTACAGAGAGAGGAGACCGTAGTGAAGTTGAATTGTAATATATGAAATGTTTTTGTATTATAACTGACAATGGTCTTGCTTTTTTACCTGTGTGTGCTTGTTCACCTATTTGCATTTGCCTTGTTTGTTGAATAAAAAGCGTCCCATCATGAAAGAATGTCTCCACTCATAAATACCAAAATGAATACTGACTATTATGCCTTTTTTATACATGGAAAATGTAGGCAGACTGTGACATGATTTATTTGTCTTGCCTTTCAAAGGAGAAACATGACCAGAACAAGAATATAAATAATATATTGGAGATGATTCATTCGAAAAGTTTAAAGTGTGTTAAGGGTTACTTTCCTAATGCTTACACACGTTTTTACAAGTGTCATAGGACATTCATATGATCATAATCACCAAGTGTAATATATAGTTAAACGTGTAGTGCCGCTTCACACCGTGTGGTGGCAGCAGAGACTTCTGTGAATGTCTCATCTACCAATATTTACAACAAGAAGAAGAAAAGAGCCAATCACAGAGCAGGGCATCATATTAAACTGTTTAGTTTCAAACAGCTGCTCTTCTCTTAAAAACAGTTTACTTTGAGTCTGTTTTTTGAGTAAACTACAAACAGAAGCTGGCTGGATCTATTTTCACACGGTAACAATGAAGTTAACCGACATGAAAAAGCTGAAAGTGGCCGAGCTGCGGTCCAGACTGAAGGATCTCGGGCTGGACAACAAGGGGCTGAAGGCTGAGCTGCTGGGCAAGCTGTGGTCCGCGTTAGAGGCGAGACCAAGTCAACAATACGGTGATGAAAAGGAGGATAAACCTAACCTACTGAATTGCCGACCGATGACACTTTTAGCATCACCGGAGACGGTGGACACCCACCCTCCGCCCCCATCACCCCCGACAGGAGTGCTCACAGACACCGCCACACAGACAGAGGCTCCCCCCGGGCTGGCTTCACCACAACACGGATCAGCCGAGAGTGTGGTGTCGGGGTGTCAGGCGGGGGAGGGAGAGGTTGAACATCTGCTGGGAGGTGCAGAGGGTCCTGAAGAGGAAAGAGGGGCTCTGCCTTCAGAGGAGAGTATGAGCAAAGGGAGAGCTTTCTACGAGTTCAAAGAGGAGATACGATACGTAAGGTAACGCAAAGTAAGATTTGAGTTGTAGTTTTGTTAAGAACAGTACATCTTGTATTTAAGTAAAAGTAGGAGTACCAGAGTGTAGGAATACTCTGTTACAAGTAAAAGTCCTGCATTCAAAATGTTAATCAAGTGAAAGTACAAAAGTGTAAGCATCCATTTCAGAATAATTTCAGAATAATGTATATCAGAATAATGTATATCATTCGTTTAGATTGTAATTATTGATGTATTAAAGTGTTATCAAAGCTGGTAAAGGTGCAGCTAGTTTTAATCACTTTGTATACTGCATGGTGGCTTGTGAATGTTGTGTAAGCTGTAACTAGTCTTATTTAAGTGTTGTTTATATTTCACATCATTAATCCAAAGGTATAAATAAATGTAGTGGAGTAAAAGTGCACGATATACCTCTGAATTGTAGTGGAGTAGAAGTACAAATGAGCAAAACATTAAAATAGACAAGTAAAGTACAAGTCCCTCAAAAAAAAATCTACTCAGTAACTTTACACAACTGGTTTAGAATCATTTAAAAGCTTCAAGCCAAAAAAAATGCAATGTACAAGGAAGATGAAATAAAGCAAAAACAATGCTAAACTTGGTATTTAAAAATCTCTTTGAGGAATATATATGGAAAGGATGTTATAAAACAATATGCTTCTCTGTCCTTTGAAGAGCCAAATCACCACAACCTGCAGTGGAGAGAGAGGAGACGGAGGAGGAGAGTGAAGATGAAGTCAGACTAAATCCATGTAAGTCTCTGGACTTCACACATCACCTTTCTGGTGAACGGACCTAAGACTTGCACTTGGTCACAGTGTTTCAAAGTTTGATTTGTTAATTTTGTCATAAGAGCGGTGCTGAGAAGTTTTGAATACTTTCTGTTCCCGTCCCCACAGATGACGGTCACCTCCACTTTAAGGAGGGTCCTGATGGGGCCTGTGGTCAGCCGTGGTTCTGGGCCCGATTCCCCTCGCTGTGGTCGGACTGCAGGCTCACTCACGGGGTGCTGCAGGGCAGGGTGGGCTTTGAGGTGAGGCTGGAAAAGAAGTTGACTACACAGCTGCAGGAACAAGAGCACGTGGATCCCTGCGGCCTGAGAGTCGGCTGGTCTGTGGCCCACTCCTCTCTACTGCTGGGTAAGAGTCATCATTAGGTTCATGTTTGGAAGTATGATTTAAACATATTGAAACTGGAAACGTTATTTTTTTTTAAATCCCTCTCTTCTATTGCCAATTGGCTTTATATCTGCCTCTACCAGGTGTGGATGAATTATCTTTTGCTTATGATGCACGAGGGAAAAAAGTGTCAGGTGGGAAGGAGGAAGAGTTTGGAGAACCGTTCTCAGTGGGGGATATTGTTGGCTGTTATGCTGTGAGTAACACTTATCTTGAATTCTTTCTCTATTCACATTCTCTGAAACTTTACTATCTTGTCACAGAGATCTGAATTGTATTTGTTCTAATCCCGACTCTGTGTATGTCATGTTTACACATGCATGTTGTCAGTCATTCTCTTCAGACGGTGCTGTTGCGCTCTCTTTCCATAAGAACGGTCGTCTCATGGGTCAGGCCTTCTCCCTGGATGCCTCCCTGCTGCTGGCTCAGCCTCTCTTCCCTCACGTCCTCTGTAAGGGCTGCTCAGTCCGATTCCTCCTGGACCCCACAGCTCCTCCCTGGTACCCCGGCCCTCCAGGGTTCACAGCGCTGGCAGCTCTTTCTGCTGGGCAGAGGGAGCGTGCAGCCTTGCCTCCTACATCCAGAGCACAGGGCGAGGTGAGAGACAGGAGCTGGGTTTCCAGCCAAAGTCATACATGCAGAGTTATCACAGTGTTTTTAATGCATCCCTGTCACGGAAAATGTTGTTGATGAATAACATTTTTAGACTGACATCAACTCTTGAGCTATGACACTAGCATTGCTAATTTGTTTATTTTCTAGCGCTGTACCGAATAGTACCGGAGCTTCAAGGCTTCATTCATAAGTTATTATTACATATTCAATATCTAAGAATCAAACTCCTAACAACAGCGAAAGTGCAGATATATTCACTTCAAACAAGATCTTACCAACAGTAAGTGCTGGTGAATCAGATACAAAGCCTACATTAATGCAACAAATGCAATTTATTTTTGTTGTTGACAAAGTTTCTTCTTATTCTGTTGAGCTTTTTCTGCCCAGTTGCAGACAAAGATTAAGCTACACTGATAGTTTTTGTATTCTGATACGTTTCCTTTTTTTAGAATGCTAGGATTCAAACATTTGCAAAACTCTAAATTGCTGCAAAGTCTAAAAGTATAGCTGTAAAAAAAATGACATCCGGTACACACTGGTGTCTCCGACGACTTGTAAGAGTGCGGACAAAATCGCGTCACGACGACATGCCTGGCTGCAATTGTCGTCGGGACAGACACGTGGCCTGTGGTTGACGACAGCCAGGCCACTAAGATTGGACGAGAAAGACTTTTTCCCGAAGTGTTCATGCAGCCATGCGTTTACGCGAAACTCTGTGTTCACTGCGCAATGCGTAAAGTCTAACAACCGGACCCGTACGCAAAAAAAAAAAAAAAAAAAAAAAAAAAAAAAAAAAAAAAAAAAAAAAAAGAAAAAAAAAAAAAAAAAAAAAAAAAAAAAAAAAAAAAAAAAAAAAAAAAAAAAAAAAAAAAAAGAAAAAAAAAAAAAAAAAAAAAAAAAAAAGGACGGCATGTGAATACACGGGTGGGCGACTAATCATTTAGTATCTAAACACTCCAAAACAGTTCATTGAAACCTGAGAACGTGTGACAAAGAGGAGACTTATACAAGGGAGGGACCGGGAACTTGAAAGTTCTCGAAGTTACTTTACTTACTTACACAAATCGTGCACTTCTAATGGACCAGCTCTATAATCAACGGCTCCTCAGACTCTTCGGAAGAACTAGTTTAGGTCAGTCTGTGACTTCCGGGACGACGTCGTCGAGAAGGGAGACAGTGGCGAGACGTGTGTGTGTGTTTGTGGTGTGGTTCAATGAGAAAAAAAAACTATTGCAACCAGTATTCAACTTTTGTAATTAACATTTAACCTTATAAATTGTTTTCATTTCTGACCCCACAAACTGACTTTAGTGTCTATTTTCGCGTCGCGTGAGGAGACACGGGTTCGGTACCATAAGGACAACGAGCCGCATAGCGAAATTACACTCTGGCCGGGTCACCGAAAAGGGAGCTGTGAGGTCCTTCGGATTTGTAGTTGTAAATGGACTTCCCTTTGGGTTCTCTACCTTACAATTTTGGTTTGAACATTGAT